CGGAACCCGCGGCGGGGAGGCGGAGGACGCACAGCCCGTGCCTCAGGCCTCAGGGCCCTCCGCTTGGCCGTCAACCCGCCGGCCGCGCTCGGACCCCTGCCCGGGCCGGCCTGGCGCCGCCGCAGCCCCTCAGTCCGGCTCCATTCATAGGAGCGACCCCATCCCGGCCGGCGGGGCGGGGACAGGGTCGCCGCAGACGAGGCGGGTCCGCCGAGGCCAGGGGGGAAAATAAAAAGTTATGAGAAGAACTTACCTAAAATGGCTCCTGCAGCAGCCAAAATACAAACAGCTATTATTTGGTGAAGTTTAGCTCAGACACCCTGCAAGGACACCCTAACACAGCTCGGGCCCTCCTCCCCGGCCGCGCCATTGGGCCGCGCTGGCCCCAAACACAGACTCATTGGTCCTCCGGGCTGCAACTCAGACGGAAGCCCATTTCAAGCTTGCTTGCAGGGGCGAGTGATGGGCTCGCTCCATTGTGCTCGTATTTGCATGGATGTGATCGCGGCGCTGATTGGTCGAGGCCAGGGCCGCCCCGCCCCCTGCCTCGCACTCCCCGCCTTGGAGCCGGCGCAGCGCGCGGCCCCGCCCCTCGGGACGGAGCGGCAGGGCTACGGGGGCGGGGCGGGGCCGGGGTCCTACGGGCGGAGGGGGCGGGGCGGGGTCCTACACGCCGCCGACCGCAGGCAGGGGGCGGGGACCGGGATGGGGACTGGGTGCTGCTGCCGGGCGTCGGGCGAGGGCTGTGCTCGCAGGTGAAGGTCTCGCAGGTAGCGGGCGAGCGCGCTGGAACACCCGGGGCTGGCTCTCACGCGGTGGAGGGTGGGGGTGGTGGTCGGGGTGTCTGGTAACCGGAGCGTGCCCAGGCCCAGGCCCTGCACGCTGACGCTGGGAGAGGCGTGGGTACCACAGTTCAGCCAAAGAAGATGCTAAGAGGTCAAGCAAAGCGGAAAGCCCTGTCGTCCTATCTCCAGCTGCGGCTCCTGCGCGGTGCGACTGACTCCCTAGCACACCACGAGCTTCTTCCGGGGGCCTTGCACACCCAGGAGTTTTCCAGCCCAGGGCATCCTGCAGCACATTGGATGTGCCTCAGTAAAAGCAGATGTATTTATTTTCGGGCCTGTCTCCACTACCATCCTTGTAGCATCCTCAAGGACAAGGCCTAGCATATGGCAGCGATTCGACCAATGTTATCGTCCTTAATTCGTTAGTTAGCAGCTCATTTTTAAGTGCCCACTAAATAACAGAAATTGATCTAAGACAGGATACAGTGGTCAGTAGGACAAAGCCCTTGCTGTCACGGAACAGGCCAAAGAAAGACAATAAGTAAGTAAATAAATAAATAAGGGGCATGCAGTGATAAATGCCGTAAAGAAAACGGAGGGAGGAAGGAAGTCAGACCATAGATGGGTAGGAACAAGCAGGAGGGATGAGGACCCTGCCCTACCTAGGAGAATATTCCCAGCAAGCATCCCTTCCGCTCCAGGACCCAGTGATCACCTTTCCTCCTCACTCCCAGCCTGCCCTATCTGGAGTGTTTCCCCAGTACTGACTTTAAAAAATAAACTGGTTGAATTCTGACCGTAGGAACTCATTTTACATTAAAGCAGGAGTGATCTGAGTCTGATGACTCCAAGAGCAGTTTGTCAAATGCCTTTAAGATAAGCATGGTGTGAGTGTGTTAAGGGTAACTACAATGGCCTAACAGAGCCTTCCTGCACCTCTAGAGAATATTTTTTTAGCTTCTCTGAAATCCCAGTTTTCCTATGGCTTTCAGCCTCTTCAGTTTTGCCTCTTTACTTCTTGGGAAATACCATAGATATGACCAGTTTGAAAGTGAACGGATTGCAGCTTACCTGCCACCTGTCTGTCTCAACCTGACACCTTCTGTTTGATTCAAGGCTGGCCAAGATGTCTCACAGCCCTTCCTTCCTCTTTCATCTTTCCTTAAATACTAAATACCAGCTCTGCTGTAGGTACTGTTTTGGATACCAAGGTGAGTATTAAGGCAGACACTATCCCTGTCCTATAGGAGCTTACTATTTAGTTGGGGACAAGGCAGAGTCATGGCTCCTGAGGATCTCTAATCCTGCTAAGCTGGTAAGAGAATTTACTAGAAGCTAATTGTCCTCCCTGAAGGCTTCACAGGGAGGTCCTTCTTACCTTCTAAGCCAGCTGCTTTAACAGCTAAAACAGACCCTGTAGAGGGGACTTTGAAGCTGGTAGTCACACCCCTTTGGCCCAGATGCCAGGATCACAGGTTCCAGGGTACAGTGCTCAAAGAGCTGAGGTCTCGGAACTTCACATTTCTCAGAAGAGGCTGGGAGAAATAAGAAATGGACAGAGAGGGCAGCAAAGGTAGTCAGTGAGGCTGTGGGGAAGTAAGAATTGGACAGAATGTATTTCCCAAAGCACGGAGGCAAGAAAGAACTGGCTGGAGATGTGTGGGAACAGGAAGCCGAGGGAAAGTAGGCTTATCAGTAATTGCCATCCTCAAACTTTGAAGAAAGTAGCATAAGAAAACTTAAACACACAGACACAATGTTGGGTGGGCAGACAAGGAATCAGTGGGAGGCCATGATGAACTCGCAGCTGAGTAAGATGGGTTCAAGCAAAGGAAGTGCAGAAGATGCTGCAGACTTGACCTTGAAAGAGTAGGTCTGTGGAATTGAGAGGTTAGTGGAATCTGACTCCTAAAGTACTTTCAGCAGCCAGGGCCCTGTGAGGCAGCACTGTGCTGCTCTTTGCTGAGTTCTAGGTCACCCAGAAACAGCTTGATTCTGTACTGAAGGACTGAAACAAAGGTTTAAGGTAGGGATGAAAAGCCAGTTCCAGAATGGTCACTCCTGTGACCAGTTCTTCTGGTCATGGATTAGTCTCTAAGAAGCCATATAAAATGAGTCTCAGTATTGCCTGTGGGTCAAGGAAAGGACGGAAATTTATTCACCAGCTCATCTCGCATTGGGTAAAGATTCATACCAGTTTTATCCCAGCTAGAAGCCAAGTGAACGTTCATGGTGCCCCAAAGCTCAGTGTCAATAAGGATCCAGGATAGAGGGCCATGAAGCAGAACACTATCAAGATCTAGCTGTCTGAAGTCAGATGAGGCAGACTCAAAGCTGGTCACCTCAACAACTGCTAGAAGAAAAAGTGGTTGACAGCGTGAGGCTGTGAAGGCTTGATAGAGATGAGGTGATGCATGAATTTCTGTACTACATAGTATGCCCCAGTTTCCAGAATACCCCAGAAGAAAAAAAAAATCTTTAAGAACTGGAAAAGGAAGCCACAGAAGGACTTCCAGAAGTTCTAGAACTTTCTGATAACTCCACATGCAGGAGATGTAAGACACCTGTTTTCTTTTGCTTCCTCGTCTCTGTTCACATCTTGCTTTTCTCCGTTAGACCATGTGTGAACTTCATTGCTCTTGTCTCTATGTCTATGGACGAATAAAGAGGCTCTTTTCACCAGCTCATTTTTTTAAAAATATTATTTTTATTTTATGTGTATGAGTACATTGCCTGCATGTATGTGAGTGCACCCGTGTCATGCAGTGCTGCGGAGGTCAGAAAAGGCTTCAGATTCCCCTATGACTGGGCTTACGGATGGTTTGTAGCCGCCATGTAGGTGCTGGGAATCAAACCCGGGTCCTCTGCAAAGAACAGTCAGTGCTCTTAACCGCTGAGCCATCTCTTCACCAGCCCATTTCATTTTCCTCCTAAGCTTACAGCAGAATTACAGCTCAGTAATCAAGTAGGCCCATCTGTCTGACCTCTGGAAAAATGGAATCTGGGCAGGAGGATAGATCTCATTTCTAGGCAGCCCCAAACTCCTATGATACTCCAAGCTTTCTTTCTTTCTTCATCTGCTGGTCATATGAAAAATTATCCAGTGGAGAACCAGGAAATAGCAATAGTATGAGCCTGGGTTTCTGACTGACTGAAAACCCCTGTGCTTCCCTCCACTGGATGATGTTGTGAGCAAGAAATTAATTCCCAGTGTCAAGTGAATAAAATATGAAGGTTGGTTGTTGCATCTATTAGCATACCCTGACTAACACAGGACTTGTCCAACATCATTAAATTCCATGTCCTTCCAAGATATAGATTGTGTTTATAAGTCAAGCACTAGTGCAGGGCCTGACACATAGTAGGCATTGCTCAAAGTATGAGTGAATGTGAATGAGCTGATGCCTGAGCCTGGTCTTAAGGTAGAAAATAGGAAGGATATGTAGCATGTGCAGAAGTAGATTAGGAAGAGTATGATTCAGTCTCAGCCCTGAGAAGTCCCAAGATGCAAGAGGGGGATGACCAGAGTGAAGCTAGAGAGAGGCAAAGGCCAGATCTTAAAAAGGAAATTTGATAGGGGTGGATATGATCAAAATATACATTGTATACATTTATGAAATTCTCAAAGAGTCAATGAAAATAATTAACTTTCCCATGGTCACTTGCAACAAGTAACAACACAAGTATTTGAACTAACATAGCCTGACCTGACATTGTGCTTTTCCAGTAACCCATCCTGTGTCATGAACATTGATCAATATTCCCCATGATATGATCATGACAATTGTAGAACAAGATTCTTGTCTTACCTCTTCATCTATAAGAAAATGCATTGACCTCATAAAAATGCGCAAAGTACAGGCCTGATTTGTAAGTAAAGAGAAGAAATGCATCCTTAGCAAAAGTTTCCAGAGTTTCACATTCTGTGGAACTTCTCAATTTGTGTGCATTCACACAAATTTAGTAGAACATGGATTCTTTTTTTTCTTTTTCTTTTTCTTTTTTTTTTTTTGTCTTTTTGAGACAGGGTCTCCCTGTAGCCCCAGCTGTCCTGGAACTCACTATGTGGACCAGGCTAGCCTGTAGTAGCAGCTCCTCCTCCTCCTTCATTTTTTTTGAGGCATGGTCTCCCTGTAGCTCCAGCTGTCTTGGAACTCACTGTGTAGACCAGGCTGGCCTCAAACTCACAAAGATCCGCCTGCCTCTGCCTCCCATTTGCTGGGATTAAAGGCGTGCGCCACCACGCCCGGCAGAACATGGATTCTTATAACTTAATAAATGGAAATAAACTTTTGAAGAGCAAAAAAAAATAAGTTTGAGATTTATCCTATAGGAATCCTTCACACATTTTAAAATTAAGATATGATGTGTCACGCTTATATTTAAGGGTGATCTCACTAGCTGCCTAAAAGAAGGAAGGATTAGAAAAGGAGAACCCAAAATACAGATTAAAAGCAACTCTTACCATTTTACCAAATCATTCATCCATGAGATGACTAACTGAAAATATGTTTTGGAATCAAGTTGTTTGTGGGAGTTGTGCAACCTGCAGTCTTCTTTTGGGTGTCTTGGAGATTACTTATTAGCATGCCTCCAAACTCTCTAGTGGTCTTGAATTATT